TGCGCATATATGTCGATGCGCCCACGTACGTTCCTATCTGGGCACCCCGAGAAGGAAGGAGAAGGAGAAGCTAGAGACAATAGAGAGATCGACTGTGGCAGTTGACAGCTACAGGTTGCCGAGGCAGCCGTTGAAGAGCTACGTGGCAGAGTTGATGCCGTAGAGGCAGCGGGAGTTGGGCATCCTGCATGTGCGCGTCCGCCCTTCCAGCGACAGTGTCGGGCCATGGTGATTGGAGCGACGCATCGACGATGACGAAGCGGATGGAGATGCGGAGCGACGCCGTCCTCCACAGCGAGGCGCTCGATGCTATTGATACCGCGCTCGATGTCCTCCGCGTCCCTAAGCAGCCTTCCGACACACGCGGACAGCACGGCAACCAGCCATCTCTGAGCCGCCTCCCGCTGTACGCGGACAGCACGGCCACCATGTCGCTGGCGGCCTCCTTCGCCTCCCTCATGGCAAGCGACGGAGAGCGCCTTCTGACCTTATCACGGTGCCTCGGCCCGGATCACGTAGAACCAAACGAAGAGCGCGCCATCGCAGCCTTGCCAGCGTCGCCACCACACACACCAACTTTTAGGAAAGTGGAGAGAGGAGAGTCCGGATGGGGAGATACAGATGAGAGAGAGGTTGTAGGGCAGGGGATGGATGGATGCATGCAGAGTTAAGGAGAAGATAAAGGTCGTCACGTATTTTTGTATTTTGATATATAATTAATATTAAAGTATTGTGTGTTGCTTTTATCAAACTAGAATTCGAGTCATGCATATGCATGCAGGCATGTGACCAGCATGTATGGCAATTAATCGGCCAATGCATGATCCATACAAGGACACTATCATATTAATGTAAACATTAACTAATATTATATTGTCCATGTTATGGTCATAAAATAATTAATTGTAGCTTAAAAAACTGTAGAAAATATAAATAAACATAAATAAATACGTAGAATTTCCACCGTCGTGTTTTCACGAACATTTGATAAATTTTTTCTCCCGTTGCAACGCATGGGCATATTTGCTAGTAATAATAAAGAGGCAAAATTTCTCTCCACCCATTTTTTGGTCCGGACATCCCTTAACTAACTTTGTGAATGTGGAAAAATGCCTATAGCCCTTCTCTTTATATAACTAGGAATTCTAATTCAATTAGATCTCTCCGATTTCGGGTCAATAGGAATCTTAATCCAAATAAGAAAAATTAATAATATGGACAACGAGGAATCTTAATATAATTAGATCTCTCCAACTCCCAGTAACCGGAATAGGAATCTTACTCCGAGTAACCGAAATAGGAATTTTAATCCAAATATAAAAATATAAGAATATAAATTTAATAAAGAAGAAAGAAGGGAAGAATTTATTTGTTCGTTTATTTTCTGTTCTTTCTTTCATATTTTTCTGTTTTTCCCCGTTTTTACTTGCTCCAAGTACGTGTTGCTTTACATTCATTTGGACGCTTTTCAATTGGCTCTGAATATGTTCTGATTTTTTTTTCGTGGTTATTTTCTAGAGTACATTCCAATTTTTGTCATGAGTGTTTTCTATTTGGCTTCGAGTATGCTTAGATTTTTTTCTCGTGGATGTTTTTGACACGAACTCGACTTTCTGATTTTGTTTTCATTGTTTTCTCCACCTGATTTTTTCTTGTTCTAATAAATATAATAAGAATAAAAACAAACAATAAATAAGATATCACAACCATTTTAATCTTTGACTCCTTAAGAAACAGAATTTTTTACCATTAAGTTAACTTCATTTTTGACTCGAACTCATGATCCATACTATAACTCATTATGTATTGGATCCCGTGGCAACGCACGGCATATTTACTGGTAGATAATAATATAGGAGCTTGTGTGGCCACGATGACAATGCTAACGGCGCACGACATCAATTCCGGCGCAGCAAAACAAGATAAGTCCTGTCATGCTGGGTCCAAAGTCCTATAAAAAGTCCTATAGGTTTTGTCCTGATGATTCGTCTTGCTTTGCTTTGCATATGGGGTGCACCGGTGCAGGACACCGTGTTGGACTACGCTTGCAAGTTCTGATCGAGCATATTTCCAAAGGAAAGTTGGGTCTCATATGCGCGTACGACATCAAAGAGTTAGTGTAGTATTAGTATAGTTCGGAAGCCAAAGAAGTCCAAAGTCCAAACATCTTGGCATGCAAATTCAGTTTTAAAGCAAATCCAGTTACTAGTTTTTTTAGACTAAATCCCAGTTAGTAGTAAACAAGTAGTGTTACGAGTATATCGGTACGGACGACCTTTATTTGGGCCATCAAATTTAGGCCCAATACTTGGAATAAATTATATTAGGTTTAATTTTTCTTCTTGCTCAAAAAAAAAAAATAGTAACGCTCCCTATAGGGCGTCGGTCCGTCCGGACGGACCCCGCACCCGTGCGCCCATCTGCATCGCGTCCCGCCCATGATTCTACCTTAATTACTCTTCTCCGGTCATGCGAGGGGGTCGCCTCGCCCGCACGTCTTCCATCCGGCAAAAGTGGAAAGAAAATCAATCACCAATTACTCCTCAATCAGAGGAATCTCGTCCTCAATCACCGCATGCATGCGATCTGCATCCGCATCCACCGCCTCCTATTTGTTGCCCGCGCCCCGTCTACATCACTTCCCGCTCGTGGTCCCCGCACGCGGTCTGCATCGCGTGAAAACACGCGCAGCTTTGCCCCACGTGAAATTCTTACATCCACACGTCGTTATTATTTTAAGGATGCATGTCTCTAGTTGTGATGTGCGCATGTGCATGCATATTAAAATGGAAACTAATTTGTGTGCGCAAATGAGCTCAACACCGGCGACCTCTACGGCACTCCATGGCATTGAGCTCCACGTTGGCGCCAGGCTCCGTATGTTTCATGTGTTTCAGATGTATGTTTCATATATGGATGTTGTTGCATGTGTTTTATCTGGATGTTGCAAAATTTGATCTGGTGTTGCATATGTTGCAATGGCTATACACGTATGTTTCAAATGTATGTTTCGAATGTTTCAGCTATTTCATACGTATATTGCAAGTGTTTTTATCTAGATGTTGCATATATTACAGCGTCTATACACATATTTTGGACATATGTTGCAGCAAGTGCTTCATGTTGCAAGTATTTTCATTAGCAGGCGTGAGAAGTGGGCACATTCGGAGTGTTCCATCTGAATGTTGTATATGTTGCAATGGCTATACATGTATGTTGCAAGTGTATGTTTGAGCTATTTCAAACATATGTTGCAAGTGTTTTATCTAAATGTTGCAGTGGCCATACACATGTTGCAAGCGTAAGTTTCAAATCTTTCACCTGTTTTGGAGGTATGTTATAGCAAGTTCTTCATGTTACAAGTGGTTTCATTAGCAGGCGCGTGAACAAGGCACATGCGGAGGCGATCCCCCGCGGGCGCAGGCGGTCTCTGCATGTGCGCGAGAAGCGAAGCGGGTGTGGGTGGTCCGCACCTACATGCACGGGCAAGGGCGCGCAGCAGCATGCATGCGGGGCACGGGCGTGGGTGGTCCCTACCTGCATGCATGGCACAGGCACACATCCGGACGTCTGGGCGCTAGCCACACCGAAAAAATGAGGTTTAATTTTTGTTCGTTTCCCGTGAAATTAGGTCTAATTTTCTGATGCAATGGTGAGTCCTCGTGATGATTCTATGAAAATGTGCAAAGCTTTTAACATTTCATATACTTAGACTAGATAATGTAAAAAGGCTTCCTTGCTTACTACTCTAGTGTTTTTCTACTCGAGGATGCGCATAAGATTTGCATAATTTTACACTAGCAAGCGTGTCTATTTGTTGTAAAAAAAAGAGTTATCAAACGTCTATAAGAAATGGGGCCGGGAAATGCTCCCCAAGCATATTTATTTATGCTTTCCCTTTATATAAAAGGTAATAGCTATAATTTATTAATTAATATTCCATATGCATTATTTAATGATGATTATGACATCCATATTTAAATTAATGTTAGTAACAATAAGTTTGTATCTGCATCATTGAGGTATTTCTTTGTACCGTTGCAAATCACAAACATATTTGCGTGTAAATGTACCATAATTTTAAGGTGTACTATTTGGTTTGGGAACATTGGTGTGATGGGATGATTCCGTCCATGAATTTAGGGATGAGACCATTGCACTCATATTTTGTTGGTTGGGACGGGTCCATTCTATTTCTTTGTTTGATTGGAGAAGCAGGAAAAAGATGGACACCTTTTGTGCACCGTTTACTCATAACAGTCATTGGACCCATTTGTCATTGTTTTGACAAACGTGACGATTTACATGGTTTTGACATCCTCGTTTTTGGTATAACATCAGAATGTTTCACCCTCATCATTTCACGTATACACTCACACGCATACAGAGCTTACCTTACCTCACCTCACCTTACCTTACCTTACCTTACCTTACCTTACCTTACCCATGAGCACTTATATATAGAAAAATAAAAAAAATAAAAAAAACTAGAGAGGGTCGATTTGGCTCTGCTCGCCAAAGCCAAAACTTGCGTAACGGAACGGAGCAGCATCAGATTGTTCTATTTGTTGGACGCCGTGGGCCCAACTAGCAACCGTTGCGGTTCCCGAGAAACGAGCAGGGAAGCGGCCAGGTGGGCCTGCGGACCGAGACATTCCCCGACCCAGCCCAAACCTGAGAGTTGCTGATTGTTGGCCTGGTTCGGAACTAGCCGTTGAAGAAGAGAAATAATTAAACCGCCCTCCAAATCCTCGTGAGTGGCTGACTGCTCTGCTTCCCTCATTCCCCGCCGTGCAGGCCACCTCCCTTTTCTGCTCTTCACTCCCTACTAGCCGTTGGCGCCCATTCCTCCCCTCATCTCATCTTCTTCACAGAGCTAGAGCTAGGCACAATTGCTCTCTCCCTCTCTTCTCCACTCACCGCAGGCAGTAGCTAGCTTTGCTTCATAATCTCCCATCATTCCCCTTCCATTTCATCCCAAATCATCACCCACCATCACCATGCCGCCGCCGCCGGCGCGGAGGCCTCCACCGCGCCTCCCCCACCGCAGCACCGCCGCCGCATCCACGCTCCTCCTCCTCCTGCTGCTCCTCCTCTCCCCACCAGCCACCACCGCCGCGCAGCACCACGGCCACCACACCACAGGCGACGGCGTGGTGATCTCCCAAGCGGACTACCAGGGCCTACAAGCAATCAAGCACGACCTGTCGGACCCCTACGGCTTCCTGCGCTCCTGGAACGACAGCGGCCTCACCGCCTGCTCCGGCGCATGGGCGGGGATCAAGTGCGTCCTGGGCAACGTCGTGGCCATCACGCTCCCCTGGCGCGGTCTGGGCGGCACGCTGTCCGCGCGCGGGCTCGGGCAGCTCGTCCGCCTCCGCCGGCTCAGCCTCCACGACAACGCCATCGCGGGGTCCGTCCCGGCCTCGCTCGGCTTCCTCCCGGACCTCCGCGGCGTCTACCTCTTCAACAACCGCTTCTCGGGCGCCATCCCCGCCTCCATCGGCGGCTGCGTCGCGCTGCAGGCGTTTGATGCGAGTAACAACCGCCTGACCGGCGCGGTCCCGCCCGCCGTTGCCAACTCCACCAGGCTCATCCGGCTCAACCTCAGCCGGAACGCGTTGTCTGATGTCATCCCCGTCGAGGTCGTCGCGTCCGCGTCGCTCGTATTCCTTGACCTCTCCTACAACAACCTCTCCGGCCCCATCCCCGACGCATTCGCTGGGTCCGACAAGTCGCCGTCTTCGACCTCCAAGCTCACCCTCGAGGATGACGACAGCAGCAGCGACGACAAGGAGGCCATCACCGGGAGCTACCAGCTCGTGTTCCTCAGCCTCGCGCACAACTCCCTCGACGGGCCCATCCCGGAGTCCCTCACCAAGCTCACCAAGCTGCAGCAGCTCGACCTCTCGGCCAACAGCCTCAACGGCACCATCCCGACGCAGCTCGCTGAGCTGGCGAACCTCAAGGCGCTCGACCTTTCCGGGAACAGTCTCGCCGGCGAGATCCCGCCGGGGCTCGATAACCTCACCGCCACGCTCCAGTCCTTCAACGTCTCGTACAACAACCTCTCCGGCGCGGCGCCGTACTCGCTGGCGCGCAAGTTCGGGGAGCCCGCGTTCACGGGGAACGTCCTCCTCTGCGGCTACTCTGCTTCCACGACCTGCCCGGCGCCCCCGTCCCCCGCGCCGGCGTCGCCCGCGGAGGAACCTCCTTCGCGCGGAGGCCGGAAGTTCAGCAGGAAGGCGCTCGTGCTCATCGTCGCTGGAATCGTCGTTGGCGTCCTCGTCCTGCTGCTGCTCTGCTGCCTCCTGCTCTGTTTTCTGAGCAGGAACAAGAGGTCTTCCGGCGGCACTGCCAGAACACGGAGCGGGAAGCAGGTGGCCAAGGAGGCCGGTGGTGCTGGCTCTGGTGCCGCGGCGGCCGGGCGCGACGAGAAGCCTGGGTCTGGCGCGGCGGAGGTGGAGTCCGGCGGCGACGTGGGTGGCAAGCTCGTGCACTTTGATGGGCCGCTGGCGTTCACAGCCGACGACCTGCTGTGCGCCACCGCGGAGATCATGGGGAAGAGCACCTATGGGACGGTGTACAAGGCCACGCTCGAGGACGGCAGCCTCGTGGCCGTCAAGCGCCTCCGCGAGAAGATCACCAAGGGCCACAAGGAGTTCGAGGTCGAGGCGGCGGTGCTGGGACGGATCCGCCACCCCAACCTGCTGGCGCTCAGGGCATACTACCTGGGACCCAAGGGGGAGAAGCTACTCGTTTTCGATTACATGCCCAACGGCAGCCTCCACTCATTCTTGCACGGTCAGATTTCTGCTCTTCTACTCTGTTCATTGTTCACCAGTACTTTTCATTTCTGAATTCTGATATACAGTATGGTTCACAAATCGTAGTTCATAGCTAACTCTTTCAGCTAATGTTAAGCAATAATGTACAATGATTGGGACACTGCCAATTGAATTGACAGGGAATTTCGCTATGTATTAGGGAATTTGTATGTCAACAGTTCTAGCTTGTTAACTGCTGTCTACTAGTATGTTTCAACAATTGCTTGGTCTGAATCTGAACATCTACAGATTCAGTCATTGGAAGACTGATACAACTGTGATTATGCTAGCATTGCGTTTTCTTTTGATTAAGCTACAAGAGTGAAGTGAGTTTAGACCTTGACGTCCTAAAAATTCTCTCAGTCAGAGGTTCAGAGCATCAGCAGAAAAGTTCAGTAGTATGCACCGACTGCTGGTGCTACTAGGTTCAGTGAAAACAAACACATCACTTGTGCAGTTATGGGCCAAACAAACTAAGGATATTTTATGATTTACTGTCCAAGTAATGAAGTAAAGAGCTAAAATTCATCGTCTCAACATTGCTCTACTGCCTTGTTACTTGAAATATGTTTATAATCTTTTCCCCTGCTAGAAAATTTTCGGCATTCAACTCTTAAATAATTGTGAACCGAAACTCTGAAATTGTGCTGAAACCACATCTCCCGACAATTGCGCTTGACAATTGATGAAAAATTTCAGTATTCAGTATTCAATTCAATTCTCGCTATCGAAGTGCCTGAACCGTGACTTGGGGCTTTTGGTGGGTTTTAACTCCAGCCTACCCTAACTTGCTTGGGACTGAAAGGCTATGTTGTTGTTGTTGTTGTTGTCAGTATTCAATTCTTGTTTGAACAGAAGTTACAGAACTACATCGGCAGCATTCAACTTTCTTCTATGATTTCTCAATCGACATTCCTTTCATTTCTGGAACTTTGACACTGAAACTGACACTCTGAACTTTGATGTTTGCTAATGATCTTGCATAGTTCTGTTATTGGGACACTGATGTAGTTCTGTTAGCCGGTTGAACTTTGACTTGCATAGTTTGCAGAGTTTCAGCAAATGCTCTTGATTCAGGAGTTGTAAGACTGACAGAACTGGGTTTAGACATGTCAAAAATCCTGTCAGTCAGAGGTTCAGAGCATCAGCAGAATCGTTCAGTAGTATGCACATGCACGGACTGTTGGGGACAGTTTTGGGCCAAACAAGGGATTGATTCGGATTTGTAGTTAAGAATTGATCGCCTCAACATAAAGCTTGTTGACAATTTGTCCACAGCTAGACATATTTCGGTATTCAGAAATCAGAACCTTTTGAACTGAAACTTTGTAACAATTGTGAACTGAAGCTCTGAAGTTAAACTGACACTGTTTCCTGTGAATTGGGCCTAAGAATTGATAAATTAGTTATTCTTTGTCCAAGTAAAGGTGAAGTTACTGTTTGGACAGTACCTCCATCAGCAATGAGCATCATACAGTTTTCTTTATGTATTCTGCTGATAAAATTTTCCCAGTTTATTCATGTCATTTATTAGTATCCATGCGAACTGAAACTCTGCACTTCGACACTGAAACTGACACTCTGAACTTTGATGTTTGCTAATCTGTTCAGCTCGCGCTCCAAACACGCCAGTGGACTGGGCGACGAGAATGACGATCGCCAAGGGCACGGCGCGTGGCCTGGCGTACATGCACGACGACATGAGCATCGTGCACGGCAACCTGACAGCCAGCAACGTGCTCCTGGACGAGGAGCAGAGCCCCAGGATCTCCGACTTCGGGCTGTCGCGGCTGATGACGACGGCGGCGAACTCGAACGTACTGGCGGCGGCGGGCGCGCTGGGGTACCGCGCGCCAGAGCTGTCGAAACTGAAGAAAGCGAGCGCCAAGACGGACGTGTACAGCCTGGGCGTCATCATCCTGGAGCTGCTGACGGGCAAGTCCCCCGCGGACAGCACCAACGGCATAGACCTGCCGCAGTTGGTGGCGTCCATCGTCAAGGAGGAGTGGACTAGCGAGGTGTTCGACCTGGAGCTGATGCGCGACGCCACCGCTGCGGGCACCGCCGGGGACGAGCTCATGGACACGCTCAAGCTCGCGCTGCACTGCGTCGACCCGGCGCCGGCGGTCAGGCCCGAGGCACGCGAGGTGCTGCGGCAGCTCGAGCAGATCAAGCCCGGCCCTGAGGGCGGCGCTGGACCGAGCGAGGAAGGTGGCGCCACGCATGTGCCGGCGGCTTCTGCTTCTGCAGGAGATGATGAGTAGCAAGCAGCGCCAGGCAGGAATTACGAGAAAAAAGCAATTGTTTAGCTAGAAAGAGAGATATTTAGGAAATTCTTTGATTTGTTTGTTCGGCTGGAGGGATTGGATTACCCACCCCTTTCATCATTTCTTGCGGTACTAGGTAATGTCCAGTTTGTATAGGCAAATATTATTTGCACTAGAATCATCGTTTTAGCAGCCTACGAAGAAGGATGGAAAAGAGGAGAATACTACTAGTATTAATAATGCAATTTTTCCCTATTTGATTTACTTGTCTGGCCATGGGTGAGGCGGCGGTGGTGGTGGATCAGCAATTCAGCATGACTAGCTTCTGAACTTGCTACTGGTTATTGTACACATAGCCTGAATTCACAGATTGACAGTTACAGGTTGCAATAGTACGGAGTTTGTGTTTTGTGAACTGTGAGATCACATGAACAACAAGGCAAAAGGCACCTACTAGCTACTAGATGCAGCTGCAATGCAAACCAAGATATGGGTAATATGCATGTAAACATTTCACTGCAACCAGGTCCCGTTCAGTCAGATGCAAACAACACCAACAGTTCTTCTGAAAAAAGTAATTGTATGTGTCAACATACAGATTCTGCAGAAAAGGTAAGAAAGGACGAACACTCAATCAATGCACTATTTTCGGCTTTCGTCATCGCATTAGGAGTAGGAGTACTGTAGATCTCGACGAATTCTTCAGCAACCAGGGCTGCATCGACTGATCGACCTCCAGTTTGCTTGTGAGTATCATCACGACTTGTATTATGCTTGTAAAGCTGCATGACCTGATGATCTTTTATGAGTCATAATATAAGTTAGTTATTGATTTGTATTGTAGTTTGTAAAGCTGCATCAGCTGATTGATCTCTTACGAATCATAATATAGATCAAAGTTATCGATTTTGTGTTAAATAACTCGTTGGTTAATACAATATCACCAGTTATCGAATCTGCTAAGATTTGTAAAATTTTTCTTGCTGTTTTTGGTTGATTCACTAGTTATTGATATTGTTATAATTAATGTTTTATTAATTATAACAAATCACCTGATTGAGATAGAGATAGATCAGCATCATATCATCTTAATTGGTCGTCTTTTGATCTGGTCACGCTTCAAATCTAATAATTGATGGCTTAATTCCGCTAGATCGGTTGTTTTATCTCTATTCCAATCAAACATAGTATGCATCCAAAGACATGTTTCAATCTTGAACAAACTCACTAGTTAATGAGATCTAATCTAATGACACTACCACAGCTGCATCGATCCGGTCGAACCTTACTGGTAAGACTTTAGATTAGAAATTATCGATTAGTGATCTTGTTCATGATCAAGATATGTACTCTATTTGTTTGCTATGACTACATCGGCTATTTTAGCCGATTTGCCTATACTCTCACGCATATAGCATGTTTTCATGAATCTGTCAACATATAGATGGTTTTATAGATTATTTGGCTTTAGTTTGTTATCATTATCATAGCCGTATCGATCCGATCGAACCTCACTGTTGATCATAATAGATTAGATTCAAACTGTTTGTAGATTTATTTATATTAGACAGTCGATTTATTCGTATGTTATATTTTTTCATCAAACTTATCGGTTCGACGCTTTATATTGATCATGTTCCATTTAACCGATAATGCTTTCTTATATCGCTTCTTATGGATAACCTGGATATCGACTATTTAGTTGATAGCCTTATTGAATCGGCTATCTAGCCGTACATTTGGAACTATCTGGTGCAACACCAACATGTTCCATCTTAAATTACTGATAAAATTTCCTCTTCTTGTCAATTGTAGGTCAAATTGACTGGCACGTCGTTGGGTTTTCAGAATCGGCTGGTTCTGTGTTAAAGCCAAACAGATCTCTGGTCTTGTTCCACTCAGATCATCCAGCTTGCTGTGTGTTGAACACATCGCCACATTTTTGTGTCAACAGATGCTAATTAGCCGCCGAACCACCAAGTAAGCGGTCGACACAACGAAGACTAGCTTGGTGGCAACCAAGTGAACCTCGGAATAAAAATCACCGTGTCATCATCTTTTCGTTGGTTTGCGATCTCTATACACAAGCTTGTATTTACTTTCATATATATTGTGCTTATGTAGTTGCTCTTGTAATTAGTTGACTTGTGTAGTTTGCTAGTTACCTTCTAACTTGTGTAGCATAGAAGTAACTCCCTTGTATAACTAATTTGGTTTGAGTAACCATGTTAGTCACATTGCTTAGTTTGTGTAGCTAAGTAATTTAGGCTCTCTAATTTGGTTTGCGTAGTTTTATTATTGAGCATTGCTAGTGAGCTTAGGAGCTTTGTACTTTTGCTTACTAGATTGTGTAGGAGCTCCCCCGGTTGCCAAACTACTAGTGCATAGGTTTGTGTGACCTTGGTCTAGAATTGTTTAGGTGAGCTCTAGCTAGCCCGACACCTTTGTTGCCTAATTAATTAAGATCTTTGTAAGGTGCTTGAGAACTTAGATAGAGGGGAGTAGTCTTGGCTAGACCGATAGTTTTAATTCCGCATTTGTTTCGGTTAGCCGACACGTTTAATTTTTAGAAAGGACTATTCACCCCCTCTGGTCCGCCGTCTCGACCCTACACCGGCCCCGACCTCCTCTGTAATATGTTGCAAATGTATGTGTCAAGTATTTTGGATGTTTCAAAGGTATGTTGTAGGTGTTTCGTACAGATGTTGTAAAGGTAGATCGAGATGTTGCATATGTTGCAAGTGTTTCAGAGGAATTTTGTAAGTGTTTCAGAGTCATGTTGTAAGCGTTTGTTCAAAATATTTTCATCTGTTTCAATCAATGTTTTCCTAAACGGTAAACAGACTTTACACGGTCGCCCTTCGTTTAGCATTTAGACTGTTTACACGGTGTTTAAACGAAGTTAAACGGTCTAAACAGTTTTGTACTTTTTAAAAAATACATATAATTATATATGTGCATGTAAAAAATCAAGTATTCTAGCATTTATACATATTTATCCGAGTAAAAATCAATTATTTTGGTATGTATATATATTTATGCATGTGAAAAGAACCAAATATAGATATTTATGCATGTAACATATCAAGTGTACACATTTATAAATATAATAAACTTAAGTATTCAAATTTATCCATACAAAACTGAACTAGATTTACCTCGGGTTCGCCTAAACAACCGTTTAAACAGCTGTTTAGCCCGTTTAATGCTGTTTATCTCCGTTCCGTTTAGGCCGTTTAGACCGTTTTTTCCTGTTTTTGACCGTTTAAACGGTCAACCGTTTAATTTCCGTTTACCCCCTAAACAAAACAGTTTACCACCGTTTACCGTTTACTGGCCGTTTAAATGTCCGTTTAATCTGTTTAGGCGAACACTAGTTTCAATCATATGTTGCAAGCATTTTTATCTAGATATTTCATATGTTTCACACCTATGTTGTGAGAGTTTGTTCGAAATGTTTCAGCTATTCCAGTCGCTTGTTGCAATAAGTGTTTTCATGTTGCAATTTGTAAGTGTTTTATCTGGATGTTGCATATGTTTCACACATATGTTGCAACTGTATGTTCCATATGATTCATTTGCTTTAGTCGTATGTTGCATTCAAGTGTTTCATGTTTCAGAGGTAGAGAGTCCTGGGGGCACGGCCTAGGCGCCGGGGGATGGGGCGGGGTGATCAGTGGGCTGGCGGTCGGGGCACGCAGCGCACCTAGGATCCTGTGGACTGGGCATGCTTGTCCTCATGCTGGCTCTTGGTTCTGGCACCTCTGAGATAGAGGAGGGGTTTAAGGGGAAGGAGCGGTGGGCGCAGCATTTCCTGTGGGCGCACGAGCATCCGGACTCACGGTCGTTGAGAGAGAGGAGGGGGCCATGAGGAAGGACTGGCGGGCACGGCCTTTTCTGTGGGCATGTGTGACGAAGGTGACGCGCACGACTGGACATGCGCTTTTGTCCAGACGTTGCCGTTTCATATTTGCAGAGTGGAGGGCTGTCTTCCATCTAGCTACTTGGCCTATAAGTTACCGGTAGGCTAGGCTTTATAGGCTGGAACTCCTTCAAGAGGGTATTTGTTTAGGACCATTGTATCTATTGTCATAGAACCGACCAATTTATAAGAGTACAAGTACGAAAACAATCGCCGAAACGATCAAATTCTCGAACTTGCGCCCATATAAACCCGGTAGTCAACTGAAATCACGACGGATTTCAAACCAACTTGCATACAACCAAGATCACAGTAATTCAATATAACATATCGTACGTTACAACATTTCGCAGACGTTCGCAAATAGATTACATCAACACAGAGTCATCGTTATTACAAAACAAGTCTTGTAACATAGCGGAAGCAAATAGTTTAACTCACACACACGAGTTCAATACCAGTACCAGTTTGCTGATCACATCCCACAAAAGCATTCAGATAAGATAACAGGAGATCATGCCCGTGATCTAGTCTTCGTCACCCGCCGGGTGGAGACAATACTTACAGAATCCCTGATAGAGAAGGTCATCTGCAACAAGAGGGAATAAACCCTGAGTACGGGAATGTACTCAGCTAGACTTACCCGACGGAAACCAAAATAAAAGACACCAAGGATCATGCATAGCTTTATTTAGTGGATCTGGCTGACACTTTCATTTGCGTAAAAGCATATATAATAATGATTAACTTTTATCCTGAACTAGCAAAGTGACTTTAAGCCATTAACTTTGTCATCTATATTAGCACCTGTACTAATCAACCACTTGATTAATATGCAAACATTAATAACCATAGCAGGTATAATTCTCGGCAACATTATCATCATCATCATCATTATCCATTTAACCATATCGTTAAATTAATTGAATCTACGTTGCCGCTGCTCAAGTCAAGTTCTCACTATCCGGAGAGACGGCGATTCAATCGATTCCTATCCAAATGGAGGGTATTCCTAACACAAACCCCGCTTCCCCGTCGTGGTCGCAAACAAGTCACCTTTGGTACAACTCAGAGA